GTAAAGCTAATAGTGCAGACTAAAGTTCAGTCTGTGGGATAAAGATCAATTCATTTAAATTGCACTTTACTCAAATACAACATAACACAGGCAGACAGTAATCAGATACCTGATACATGATGATTTCTAAAAGATAATTAACTCTACAATATGTAAATATTAAGGGAGGAAAAGGTTTTGTATTTCAGCACTGGGAGAAAAGTACATTGTGATCTCAAAATAACACACATTATTAACTAAGCATGCTCTTACAGTAGCTACAATGCATGCAAATCAAAGGTCAAAGAATGCAATTAGGTTTTGAAACAGCATAGAGATTTTTACTAGATGACTGTGGGTCTAGCAGGTCAAAACTGAAAGAGACCTGGTTGGAATAGAGTAGAAATGAACGTTAACATAAAGATCACCTTCTTCCTTTTTATCTACATATTCTCCATTAAATCACAGAGATATTTGTGTCACAATGCCCTACAGACATTGGCTGTAATCCAGATATTTTTGATTTACAAAGTTTGCAGTGGTTAGCACTGTCGCCTAACAGCAAGAAGGTTGGTGGCTTCGAGCCCTCGGTCGTCCCGGCCTTTCTGTGTGGAGTCTGCATGTTCTCCCCGTGTCTGCGTGGGTTCTCTACGGGTGCTCCGGCTTCCTCCCACCGTCCAAAGACATGCGGACTATATTAATTAGTGACTCTAAATTGTCCCTAGGTGTGCGTGTGACTGGTTGTTTGTATATGTGTAGCCCTGTGGTGGATTGGCGACCTGTCCAGGGTGTACTCTGCCTTTTGCTCAGTGTCAGCTGGGATTGGCTCCCACCCCCGCGACCCTGTACACAGGATAAGCGGTTGACGATGGATGGATGGATGGATGGAAGTTTCATTTGAAATAAATGTTGTCTCTGAGGGAAAACAAAAACATAGAAGTTGAGAAAAAGATAAAGGGAGAGAAAGTATCAAGAGATATTAAGTACATCCATTCTGAAAACTGTAGTGACTTCACTATATACCTTTGTGGCTACTGAATTGACACCATAAACCACAGGGCCAGTTGTCAGATCAAATTTTTGGTTTGTGTATATCCCCACATTGTTAAAGGGATTTGCGAAAGAGCATGATAGATTAATCCCTCTGCACTTTTTATACTCCAGTGAATTGCAAGAATTTGGTTTCATCAGGAGAAAGTGGATTTTCAGCTCAAAATGCCAAGTAGTGACAACTTGTGAACCAATGGGAAAGGTCTTAACCTGGTGTTTGAACTCACAAAGGTAATATGGAATATGTGAGTCTGCATGTAGAGTGGGCAGCACCTTACAAAAGCTAATTGAGTTTTTATCCTTCTCATCTTGGATTGGCTCATGTACAGAGGGGTAACCGGAGAGATCCTAATTGCCCAAAGCGTTGGCTTGTGGACTGTAATAGAGGTATCGTCAAGTGGGCTACTATCTGATATCTACATATGAAGCTCATGTTGCACAGCACTTTAAGAATATTGCATTTCATCTGTCGGGGGGCTGTCTGAGCATGTGAAACCTGTTTCATTATTCTCCAGCACTGCATCCAGACTGCTTTGCTGGCAAGGAGACCCTTCTCATTTCATACAGAGAATAGAAAATGACAAAATGGAGCGCAGAGGGGCGGAACGCCGTACTTGACAACTTGTGGCCGAGATTGTAACTGGAGAAATGTGAATGTAAATATTTTAACATTCACTAAGGCTCCTGGGAAAGAGGGCTCCATTTGAGGTCTTGTACATTACACATAGGCTGCATATGATATTGAAAGCTAACAAGGTATTGAGCCCTGAAACTGACAAAATGTTGTAAAAAGTTATCAGACAATCCAAAATATTACTGAATAGCCTATATCAATATAATTTGAAATGGAGTGTAAAAATTATTGTAAGCTTTATACTTTTTCATTGACATAGTCAAAAAAAACAACCTGTCCTAATGTTTTTTTCAGTTAGCTACCAGCTAAGGCTAATTCTCTTTTATAAACTACACCAACAAGTGCATGTAATGTTAATCATCCATGTACTGCTCTGCGCACTGCTGAAGCATTAGTCTGTTGTAATAACTCTTGTAACAGTAGCTAACACATATTTTAGTGGACAAGCTAACACACACAAAGTTAGCTAGCTAACACGACTTGTAAGTACACAGACATCATGCTTTTATCTTCATTATTATCATTTATCTTTTAATGCATGTGTCTTTTGTCATCAAGGACCACAATAGAAAAGAATCTGTCTTTGTTGTGCTATCTTAAACATTTAGTAGATGTGTGTGATTTAATGCCTCTTTTCTTATGCCAAATAAAGTAAATTAGAAAGTCGTTTGTGGCTTTAGCTAGCTAAGTTTATTGTTAGCTTGCTGGCTAAAATGCTACAGGTAGGCTTACTGTTGAAGAGTTTAGTGATGCAGCTATTTATTTGGACCATAGACATACAAAGATTTGGACTTACAAAAAATTGTAATATGGTGAGGAAAATGCAAAATAGATAAATGATCAAAAGTTAGCTGAAAAATAAAATGAGTGGTAAACATGAGTATTACTTTTTACTTTTATCCAGAAAAAAAAAAACTCTCCTTGCTTTTCTAATTTTTCTAACCAACTGATTTGAGGTTAAAGGAAAAGCATAAAGCTTTGTATTTCGCTTCACACTAGTAGGGACCTATAATTTATTGATAAAAGTCAAAAATATAACTGTATATAATTTGTCCTACATACTAAATCAGGTCGGCTGAATCAGTGAACTCTTTTAAGTCCCTTCCTAAAACTTTTATAGGAGAGCATTTCTTGATTTGATTTGATTTAATTCTATTTTATATATATTAACTTTAAACATGTATTTTAATCTCTTAAGTGTTGTCTTGCTTTTATCATGTATTTGTTTTTATGTGCTCCATTGTCTTTGCACTTGTTAAAGCACTTTGTATGCATGTTGTCAGGTGGGTGCCCCATGACAAGGTGGGGTTATATTGTTTAATTGTGCTCCTTCTGAACTTTCCCCTTGGCTTGCGAAAATCCAGAATAAGTATGTAAATCAGCTGTAACATAGCCATGAAGAAAAGAAGAAAGTGTATTTCAAATATTCATGTACAAGACCAGGCCGATGCAGGTTTCCCGATCTGGCTGTAAAGTGCTGTGCAAAATTGTATCATTGGATTTAAATTGGATCATTTTAGGCAACATAACAAATTCCTCTATAAGAGCTGTAGCCGAAGGAGTTGAACCACTTTAAAACCTCTTGTACCAACAGATTAATGGCTGGAACACAACCTTTCATACTCTGTGTGGACCTTGTTACACCATTTCTTCAAGGCCTGCTTAGAATTCTAATTTAGAGGGGGGAAAACTACATGTTTTTAAATAGAGGTTTTGCATCACATGACCTTGTAAAAGCATTGCAGGGCGGACTGATCGAGCTCCTCCTGGCTGTCTTGTTGTCTCTGCTCCCGCTGCCTTGCTATGCTGAGGTCATTACTCACTGTGACACACTACGCTGATCTACATCATATTGCTAAGCGTTTAATATCGTCCCTGCTGACCAAACGCCTTCGCACAACAACCACCAAGAGTACTACCAGGCTGTACTAAATACATAATCAAGATGGTTAAAATGCTTTCCCTTGCATAGTCCTCACACTGCTGTACTTCTTTTGGAAAACTTTTACATTTGGTTGATTAGTTATTGATCATCTCAGTACTTTGAGTAAACACACACAGTATGCAAACAAAATATTTTCCTTTGGTCTAAAGTGCCCAGAACTCAGTGTGACAAACAATACTCAGTTATTTATATGATTAAATTCTTTCCATTGCTGTAGTTATTTTGTCTTTACAAAATTGGAAAGAAAGTGCACACAAAGAACAGACAGCAACCAAGACAATTTTCCATACAGACCTGAGGCTACAGTTATACTCCTCTCTAAATTGGTTTCATTTATTTCTCTCTCTCTCTCTTTCTGAGGTACAGTACTACACCTCAGATTATATAAGAACCCCTCTAGCTTTGCCAGATGGCAAAAATCTGTCACTAAGCTGCCACGGTTTATTCGGACACGAGGGGTAAAATAAACATGTTCACTTGTTCTTGTTTGTGGCTCCTCTCCTAAATGTGGAGAGGAAATGTACACCTCAAGTGGGGTTTAGGTTGGAGCGTATCCACATGGAAATGTTAACATGAAGTGCCTGTTGCTTAGAGGGGCTGGATTTACATAAAGAAAGACTACTACTGTGTCCCCCATTCTGTCTTTATGACTTAAGCTAACGTCTATTTTTAGTGCTTTCACCCCTGGAGTCTTCTTTAAAGAGAGACATGATGAAGAGAGCAGCATAAACACTGACATGAAAGGAACAGATTTTGGGGAATATACTTAGGTGCCATCTTGATAGCTGGGAAGATTGATACCATTCACATAATATCTGTCTCTAAAAATAAATCTACAGCTTGGACATGTTTAGTTTGGCTATCTTCCTGCCAGCATATCCAAAGCTAATTAATCAACGCATTGTATGTTTGTAATCTGCACAAAAACAGAAATGTAGAAATGACAAGTTGTGTATGTTGCGTATGTGTTGGACTATTTCTTGGCTGGGTGCAGAGAATTCCTGAACCTGAACTCAAATAATGAATGAAATTGCAATACATCAGGAATATTTTGCAAGGACATAAGCAATTGGAAAAAACACCTCAAACGGTGAATATTCCAATAACAATGACAGATCTATTTTAATCTTCACACACAAAATAAATTCTATTTTACATTTTTCAGTTAAGACATAAGAGGAAATAATGATTAAAGTAGTTGCCTATTTATTTAATTGCATTTGTAAATACACAATGTGGAACATACAAAAAGAAGCAAAAAAATAGTAGATATACATAAATGTACACCAAAAGTGCCACGTTCTTGTGTCATTGATCATAAATAACACACAGCAATGGTAGTGTTATGACCTGGCTCAAAAGGCCACAACAAAAGGGAGAAACATCAAGGTAAAAGTTTAACAAAATATGTTTATTTAAACCAAAGTTAACCAAATTTAAGAAGTATTTCAAACTAACATTAAAGTATGAGGTATGTAGTCTGTGGTTTCAGTAGTGTCTGTGCAGGATGATGGTGGCATGAATGTATGTATGAACGTGTTGTAGTATGCAAAACAAGATAAATACCACAATGCAATAGTCCAACCAAAGAAAACCAAACTAAATGGGAAACCAGGGAGCCGGCCCGCAGGGAGGTCTGACCTGGCCTCCACAGCAGCCTACTTGCAGAATGAGAAGACAGCCCCAAATACTCTACAGGGCAATTAGCCCAGGTGCCCAGAGTTACTGCAATCAGCTGTTCCTCTAGGAGAAGGGAGAGAGAGGGCGAGAGAGCAAGACAAGCCACACCCACTCATGACCCCATAGGGCGTCACAGTAGCAAATTATATAATTAAGTAAATATATACGTAGCCTAAACACAGTGTTTTCCCCTACAGTCTTATATTTACATTTCTTTGTATAACTGCTGCAGTGATATTACACCTATTACTAAGATAGTGGTTATGCAGCTAACTGATCCTGGCTTCACACATTGAATATAAAAGTGATTAAAGGTAAGTGATTAGTGATCAGACATTGTAAATAGAGCCAAAATAGCAACTGTGTGACTTGTTTACTCAGGACTGTGTGGATTTGATTATGACCCAGTATGAACACAAAGACAGTGTAACTGGACAGTAGAGTAACATTTTTCCATGAGCTCAGAGGTGAAGGTGTTATCTGGTCCAGATCAGTTTTCCCCCGGTTTCCAGACTACCCAATCCATATAGTAGCAGTTTAATAATAATAATAATTGAATGTTTTAAATTTAGCTTCCTTTCTCACAGCCTCATTGTTGTTATCACTATTGTCATTAATTGGTCCAATACCGAGGACCTGTGGAAGTTTAATCATTAACACTCTTCATTATCAGTCTATAAGGATGATTAACACCAGACACCCATCCTGACAGTCTGCTGATCTGATAATTACTTGAAAAAAATGTGACCAAAAACACACATTACATGAATATTTAGAATAAACCACTGAGGCAAGAGACTTAGCTGGAAGAATATATTACCTGTTTTTGTGCAAACATGAACAGCTGTAAAAACTTAGAGGTGGGTTATGGGATTCTGGAGAAATCCAGTACCATGACAAATACCATAATATAGTGCGTACAACAACACAGCAAGTGAACTAACTAACATTAGCTAGATTGTGGGTTAGCAAACTGTCACTATAGTTGCACATGCAGAGAGGACGAGACAGTCACAGAACCAGCACACTTGCTCCAGACAACGATATTCACAACTCTCCTGCTAGCTAACATCACAACAACAACAAACTAAGCTGTCCTTGGCCAAGTCATTTAAATTTACCTGACACAAATCATAGCTGTAATAGTGTTGTGCAGGCCACTTTGTTTGTTTACAGTTTACAGAGCCTGGGCTGTGTTCAAACACCGGACTGTCTTCTTCTTCTTCTTTCAGCGTGCACACAGAACAGACAGCTAGCGGATCGTGAGGTGTTATCCGCTGAATTTGACAAAAAGACGTTTATTGGATTATAATATATACCCCGCTTTTAAGGCCAGCAATCTTTACAGGATGCCCGTCAGGATATCAGCTCATTTAAGAAACAAATTAGTCTAAAAACACTTCATTTTCTGCGAGCACTTGATGGTTGAGCCCAGCATCAGATGTCGGATACATTAATCAGTTTCTAGTGGTTTTAAAATGCAGTAGAAAGGCTACTTGTGTCGCTCATGTTGCAGACAATACAAGAAGCAGGCTGTTTCAAGTTTGAGTTCAAAGAAAATGTATTGAAGGGAAACACTTTTGAGACTGGCCCATTGATCAGATTTACTATTGAGTGCTGACAAATCAACACTGAAAGCATTCATGTGTGCCTGATAGATTGTTAGCTGTGAACTCAGATGTAACACTTTATTTACTATTTTGAGTGAAGACTGACTTTTAAGACTTTGAGATTTATCTAACAGTCTGACCTCTAGATTCATAAGATTGAAATTATACTGAACCGCTCTGATGTAACCTTGTTTATTTTGGTGTGTGGTTTCATTAGATTTTCTTACTATGAAGATTCTAGTTGCCTACTCACAACACTGAGCACGCACGGGAGCATGTGATCTACCAGGAACACAGGACAATTTTGGTATCATAATCAAGATATGTTGATAGGACATACATTTTTCTTTCTGAAAAGTCTTCCAAGAGTAAAGGTCACCCAGGAAAGGTCAGTATGTTATTAACATTTTACACCCTCAACCATGCAGTTACTCAACATTCTTTAAAAACAAACAAGTAACCTTACCTGGCCCTCAGTGTGAGGAATTTTACACATAAAAAGGTAATTCTTAGTATGGATTTTGACATTTCACATCACATTGAGTTGTCTTTGTACAAGTACAGCAAGCAAAGCCACCAGATATCATAGCCTGAGCCATGATGCTGCATCTGCCTCCTGATTCTCTCCCATCTCTGCATTTCCCCATATCTGTCCCTCAAGCACATGTGGCAGATGCTGCACTGCCGAGCTCACTCGGAGAGGACGGAGCGCTGTCAGCTCAGATCCGTCTTCCTTTAGGAGGGAGCTTGTTCATTAAGCCCAACATGGCTCTACAGGAGCCAGGCTTCCACAACACGCTCATGTACGGCATCATAAATCCACATTAGAGGAGCCAAGGCATCTCATGTGGAGGGAGGTTGCAAAAGTGGTGGATGAAGGGGTTGATGACATGTAGTCCAGGCTGTCAGTGCCCAGGGAACAACTGCATACCCACTATATCCACAGGATCAGGCGCAACGGTGGCATGTCAGAGAGATTGCTTTGTTAAATGATCTTAATAATAATTCAGTCTACAATGAATGCCCTGTATAACTGCTATATATGTAACCAGGGTTTTTTTCTAAGGGAAAGGTCAGTGGCTGGGGCCACTTGCCAGGTGTTTGTGGAGCAGCAGACCAGTGCGGTGCGGTGAATGTAATTACGCCACTCCGGCAATCTGATAACCTGCTAGTCTGTCTCTCAACACTAGGAAAGTGCACTGGCATATTAAATGTGGCTCAACAAATGTGGTTGTGAGTGCGGAGCAGTGTCTGTATGTGCAGAGGTAGGGTAGGGCCACTGGGTGAGACAGGGTTTGAATGATAATCGGGTTGGTTTTGAAGGCCAGCATGTTTTTCAACTGTACATGCGCGACTATTCAGTACTTTTAAATTTGACAAATTTCATCCAAAAGAGTTTCAAATATTCTGTTTTGTTTGAAAGACTTCCATCACTAAATCTCACCATTAAAAAGGATAGGTTCAGGTTTTTTCAAGTCTATCTAAATGTAGTAGTCTACTCACTTGCCAATATTTACAAAGTTCAGGTGGAGTCGGTGTTATAGAGGTGTCCTGGTGGACTTTTTATATAGGCCTGCCATTTAAAGGTAAATAATGCACTTTGGTGCGTTTGCTTCATATATGTGGTTGTGTTGGTGCTTTAACTATACTCATTTATATTTCATACCCCTCTTGGAACAGCAGACAGGGATGAGACTTCTGTTCGGGGCTTCTCCTGAGGCTGATACACCCATTGTCTCGAAGGAGGCACCGCCTTAAAGTCTAAAGACAGGGAACAAAAGTCTCCCGTGTGCAGTTAAAGCCATAGATTACATGAAAAATTGTTCGATAATTGGCTGCGGCCTTGCTCTGCGAGATGGACAGTGAACTGGCTGGAGCTAAAATGAGGCTTAAGATATGTGAGTTGTCAAAATCAAGTGGGGATCTCCGAGAGTTTTTTTTTTTTTGTACCTTTTAGTGTTTCTTTTGACAGTGTTTCCTTGTTGAGCTGCAGGGAGGCATAGTAACACAAGGATGAACTTTTGGTCATCAAAAATACTTTGTAAGATCCCCACCTGATTTGTCTAACTCTGCTGACTGCTGAAGCCTCATACTAGCTGTGGCTGAAGTAAGGATTTTATTTTTTTTATTAAACATTGCACAAGAAGGCTTCACTTCACAGCCAGTAAATATAGGCATGTGAGTATTGTGTAAGCCTTTAAAGCCACAGCAAAAACAATAAAGCACATTCATGCTTATTTAATTATCAGGGGCTCCAAATGACCATAAGTTTAATATTAATTACAGTACAAGAATGACTCTCAGTTTATCCATTGTCCTAATGGTGAATGACACTCATTCAACATCTGCTTTAACAACAGATAGAAAAAAAAAAAGAAGAAGAAAAAAATCAACCTCACGGATGTAATGCAATACACCGAGGTGAGGGACTGCTCTGACAAAAGAGTAGCCATGGAATGAAAGCATTGTGTCTGTCTGTAATCATAATAGTCGTGCCTCAGTAGGTCAGATAAACAACAAAGTAGAGGAGACAAAACATGACTCAGTATCTGCAACAAAGCCAGTGTTTAGTGGCAAGAACAAACATCAGTCCTGCTTCCGCCCTAACAGACAGCTGAGAGAGTCCAGGGAGCTGCATCTCAACTGACACCCATAAGTCAATGGCCGGCTGTTTAGACGTCGAAGCTGTTTGGAGACTAGTGTTAACAAGCACAAAGGGGGTGCTTGACAGAACAGAAAGCACTCTCTACACTCATCTATTTGATTCTTCTTCCTTTTCAACTATTCACTCTCTCGCTTGTCTTGTCTCTTTTTTTATCCCCCCCCCTGACTGTAATTACACCTGCTCTGCCAAGCGTAGCTCGAGGTGTGGCTGGGCAAAATCACTTGCTAATATGTATCTGCAGAGTGTGTGAGGAGGAGGAGGACTGCTCACCGGCGGTCTCTGTGGAAACATTAGGTTATAAGTAGCCTCCACCTGTATGTCCCCTCCTGGGACAAAGAGGTAAGGAAACCTCACTTTGGGGAATTCAGTGTGTGCCTGTGACGTGAGGCCTTCCATTTTCAAAATGAACCTGCAAAATCAAAATCATACGAGGATATCAGAGAGCCAGAAATATAGGTCTGATCATCAGAGCGGAAGCCTGAGAAAGACACCACAGAGCCAATGAGAATAATAATCCTGTAAAAAAAAAAAATGTAGCATACAACTACACACTCCTGCTTATCTCTGAGACCGGCAATGCTGTTTTTGAACAAACTTCTCCTAGAGAGATTTCCAGGAGGGAATGTGAAACGTGTGTCGACACGTCTTCAGCTTTCATAGACAGTTCAGCGGCTGCTCTGTTTTTCTGCAGGAGACACACAGAGCATTAAAATCTGCCAGAACACCACACCAGACAGATAGTGTTACACAGCACTTCCCTTCCTCATGTCAAGCGAGCGTAATCAGACACATCCAGAGACAATCAGAATTATGGCGGTTGCAGAATTAAGTTCAAGTTTTTCATACTGAAAGACAAAAGGCGTGCTAGGACGACGCACAACTGCTAGATGCAGTGAGGGGAAGTCTGTGCAGGAGTCATGCTGTTACACTACAAATTACGTGTAGCTTCTGGCTATGCAAGGCCAGTTGTTAAGAGATGGCGTGTGTTTGTGCGAAAGAGTGAGCGCTGGAGGAAGAGGGACATTATTGTCTATCTATCTAGATGTTCTTCAAAAAGCTTACAGTCATTCCTGTGTGCAGACACAACAAACATCTTCATTAATTTAGACAGCAACATGCATGGTATACTCTCCCACGCATTCATTATTGATCACTACTATACTGGATGGCATGAAAAACATCAACTGACAGGTAGAAACACTAATTGAAAACACTTTTTCCAAGGATGCTAGTTCCCCTTAAACAGGCTTACATGAAAAGTAAAGCCGCTTGAGCTCATTTGCATAATACCTCTGTGTGCCCCATGAGAATCACAGGTTCAGTTTGCATTTTGATTAGCATGTCCCACGAAAGAGAATGTACCACCCCCCCCCCCCCAACAGTTTTTGGAGCTGGAGTATATTGAAAGGCTTTCAGTGTTTCACTCTACTGGTAGGGGCTGTTGGATGTGAAACCTGCCCACTGGCTGCAGCTCACAGACTTTATTTTTGGGGAATTTGCTGAGGAGCCACGGATCTTAATCAGATTCACAGCAGGAAGCAAATTGGACATACAAGTTGACTACTGTCATCATCTACAGCCCGACACATCATTTAAATTCAGTCAGCACGCCCGCTAATCTACTTCTAAATTTGACTTCATTTCCCACCGCAGCAACTCACCTGTTAACAGAAAATAGCACCTGAACTGTTGCAGTAGAGATGTAAATGACGAAAGTGCCGACGTTTCACACATTGTTGAACTCGCTGACAACTGGAATAAGGTTTTAGGGTTTGTCAAGCGCTCGCTGGGGCACCGCCTCAGGAAGGAGCGTCTCCCCTGTGTGATCACATTCTTCAGTCTGAAGATTAAATAGGTCCTTATTCGAGACAGATGCCAGCAATCCAGAGGCATTTTATTTAGCTGATTATCTTGACAGAAAAAAGGAGCAATTACATCCACCTACTAAATCCAAAAACTATGCAATGTGCACCATAATCATTAAAAAAAGGCATACTGTATATCACAACTTCACATATTAAAAAAAACAAACTCAAGCAGTATAGCATTTCTCTGCAGAGGCATAATGATGATGCAATGACCAGCAGCTTATGTGTTTTGCCAGGTATTCTTTCACTTTAAAGTCAATGTACTCCATTCGTATTATCCTTTAGGGAACGTAAAAATAGAACATATCACTCTTTGTAGCTCTCCAAAAAAAAAAAAAAACTTTACCATAATTCATTGTCCATGCAATGTTACACGGAAGAAATACAGTTGACATCACAGCTGCCAGGTGCTTTTATAGGACATGCAGCAATGGTTGAATGGTGGTCGTGAGACAGGTTAATCAGGAGCCATGACAGGTGTCAAATCTGAATTGCATCATGAGGAGAAAGTGGGGAAGGGGAGGAAGACTTTCATGCAAATCTTAACAGTTATATGTCACTTAATATCTCACTGCAGGGTCCCAGACAGTGTCCCATCCTCTCTCACACATCCGAATTGATGCTCAGGTTGGCCAAGCGTGGGTCAGAGTTTATCTCATACCTGTAATGGTACCCTTCCATGTGGTCCCTACATGCATCCCGGATGTTGTAAATCCACCGCTTGATGCCTTTTCTGTTCAGGTAGAGCACCAGCAGGAATATGACGCCAATCAGAGCCAGCACCAGCCCCAGGAAAACATAAGAAGTCTCCAGCACGCCCTCCATGTCGCCCGAACACTTAAGCTGCGACTGCTCCACCTGCAGGAGCGGCTGGCGTCTCAGGCCCTTGGGGTCGGCACAGGTGAGGTTCTGCCTGTCAGAGACCTGAGAGGAGTTTTTCAGCCACAACAGCATGTCCTCGATGAAGCAGTCGCAGCGCCAGGGGTTCCCAGCCAGCTGGATGCGGAGACCAGGCTTTAAGCTTAACTCTGCCAGGGAGGTGGTGGGCAGATACCTCAGGCTGTTGTCCCTCAGGTCAAGGTCACGCAGAGGAGGCACTTTCAGCGTCCCGTTCTGAATGGAGATGATGGAGCTGTTCTGCAGGCTTAGGTTGGCCAGGTTGGGGAGGCTGGTGAATGTGTCGTCTGGAAGAATCACAAGGTCATTGTTGGACAGGTCCAAGGCTGTCAGCTGGTGGAGGTTTCCACTCTGTAGGAAGCTTATGTCCACATCCGTGGAGGAATGATTGTGAAAACACCTACTCAGGTTCAAGACCTGCAGTGTATTATTATCAAGGAAAGCTCTTTCACTTAAATACTGAATTTTGTTGTTGCTCAGGTCCAGCCGCACAAGGTTTGGCAAGTTGTCAAATGCCTTTGCATCCACAGACTCCATCTCATTCCCACTGAGATGGAGATCTGTTAACAGTTCCAGGCGGGTTGGGAAGGAGTCCACACTAATGCGGGAAATGTTGTTTCCTGTGACGAACAGGACTTTGGTATTGGTCGGTAAAGAGCGCGGAATTGCGTCCAAGTCCTGGTTTTGGCATTTCACAGTTTGTGAGAAGCACAAACATTTGTCCGGACAGCCGTGACAGGACAGTACGACCGCGAGTAGGAAGAGCAGATGCATCAATCCGGAGTTGTATGTTCTCCCTCGGTTCTCTCCGCGGTTACTTCCACACGACGTGCTCAAAAGGCGCATATTGGGCTTTACAAATCTGTCGGCGCAGACCGTGCGTAAAGATTGAACAATCCAACTCAGTCACCACTTTGTTCTTCCACGGGGAGCAAGGGAAAGTTTTTCAACTATGTTTACCGCCTTTATCCCTTCGAAAAGTGCTACCAGTTCTAACTCAGACTCCATATAACTATCCCAAAAACACCCTGCTTTAGGATACGTCTACATTTCCTTGAAGATGAAGGTGATGTGGGCGAATTCAACCCGCAAACTTCTAGCCTATCCTCTTCGTTTGTTTCACAGACGTCACGCTTCTGGCTTATATTAAAAAAAAAGCTCCAGCCCCGACAAAACAATTTAGTCCGATGCAGAATGTTACAATAACTTACTCGGGCAACTGGTTCCGAAACCAGACAATGCTCCCTGTTTCCCAAAGGTGTCGCGTAGTATATGCGTACTTCCAACCTACCGTTCTCCTAAACGTAAGGAGAGTCTGGAGGGAAAGAAAGACGAAACACAGCAGCATAGTGCAGACCATTGGAAGGAGGGAACATACCATTGTTCAGCAAAAGGGGGGAGGACAGAAAATTCCCAAGTTTATTTTGATTTTAACGTAACCTCTGCACCCATGGTGATGTCACACAGGATTTTTTATATTGATCTCAACTTGATTGTCAAACATATAATTGTGAAAATCGCAACCAGTTTGCCTAAAAATGACCTGGCCCGGTTGCTTGGGGTCCAGAGACCTCCAGGGGCCCCTGAGGGGGCTCCAGTGACGCCCTAAGATGAGGCTGCAGTCTGTTTAATACAGTGTAGTGAAATATCCCCGACCAGAGATTTACACAAAAGTAATGATAACTTGATGATAGCGCCATGCTTTATCATTATCAATGACAAACACATTTTTTGGAAATGTTCCTGTGGGAACACCAGTCTGATCTATTACTGTAGGCCTTTCCATATCTAATCCAGTTCAACAGAAAATCCATTTGATAAATCAGTCTCAGTGAAAAACACACATAACCTAAAGAAATTGAGAAGACAAAAAAGGGGAAACACATTAATCACTTGATCCACTGATATTGTCACATTACTGAAGCAATTATTTATTATTTTGGAAAGCCACAATCCCTTTTAGGATCCTTGAGGGTGATAAACGTACCATACATATACCAACATTGTCAAGCCGCATTGCATGTCTACATAATTCAGAATCAGGCACACAACAAACTAAGATAAGAGCAAAGAAAAGATGACTTGTAATCATTTGGATGAACGTGCCTGGCTTGGATTTGAGGTAAAGCTTCAAACAAATTTCTCATAAATTCAGAGGTTCGTCCGTTTATGCAAGCTGTCCTTTTTAATACAAAACAAAACTTTTTCCATTTTCACGGGAAATATATACTGTGTCACATGGGATGTTGAAAGGGTGTGGTTGTTTGTCATTAATTATGTGTTCAGTGACCTCAAATGCTCCTTGGAAATGGTTTAAGGGGGCCAAAAATATAACTTTCTTTACCCATAAATGGTAACACTATTTTATATTTTGAACGCATTCTCTCCATTGTCATGTCTACCCTTAACACAATGTTCTCAGGTTTTGGTCCATGGGATGGGACCAAAGGTTTATTTAATGGGTGGACTGCTTAGTGTTACTGGCGCAAAGAAAAGTTTAGTAACTCTTGGATCTTAACAATGTGAAAGGAATGCAAGTTCTAGTTTTCCCCTAAGCATTGTGCAATACAGTTTTTTGGCAGCGTCACAGTTTTTTGTGAATAATTTCCTCAACCAAATGATGAAGAAAACAGTTAAAGATTTGCCAGTCTCAGGGGTTAAATAACATTATATAATTTTAGAAAACAATGCAATCTGCATGTCCACATTTCTTTCTGAGAAATGAGGAGATGGAGATTGTGCAGTGAAAGCATTGTCTGCTGGATTGTGCAGCATTATACTGCTGAGAAGCAAAACTATGGATGTGTTCATGCGTGGATGGCCGTGCTCATCAATATGTCATATTTGGAAACCCTGGTGTAGATCCCAGTGTAACCCTACCTTTACCATCCTTTGACCTCTTCATATTCTTAACCCGGGTCAGTCAATGTGCCAGTCACCTGAATAATTCCATGAAAGCTGGATCGAGGCTGAACGTGATACTCTTCCCAAAGTTAACTATGAAACTATTCTGACATGATGTTCTTCTTGTGGAGGATCTTCCAACTTTTTACACGCACCTTTCATGTCCACTCACGCACAACCTTGTGTGGACATATGTGCTCAAACTTTTTAATTTCCTATAAAAGGAACATACCATTATTTTGTCACAGAAATTATTTTAAAAGCACTATTAAACTTCCTCTCTGCTTCTTTTGCTCTTAATTGAATCTAAGAGGAAATATAAGACAATTTTGCGGGATAATAAATGTCTGCCCATTAAAGATTTGTGCTATTTTGAAGAATAACATGTTACTGCCGAGTCACACATGAGGTGAAAAATGTAACACCTGTAAATGAATCTTCTTGTATCATTCAAGCTTCAGTTACAAGGTATATATTATATAGGAATATTATATACACAATTTTAAACGTTTTAGTTATTTTATCATGTTGTTTTCTAAAATGTTGTTATTTTATAATTATGTTTATAAAATAAAAAATAAAATATCGTATGACATCATAGATGCAGCAACAGTCCACTGCAACAAATGCCCACAAAAACGAACCAATAGAATTTTGGGATGTGCACACCCTGACCAATCAGAAGTCTCGACACTAGCGAGTGGTTTTTTTTTTTACTTACCCAACCGTTACAGGCGTCCAGTCCTACCAAAAATTGCACCTGTGTAACGTTAGAAAACCCCAGCGACTTTCACTTGTAGTAATGAAACAGTGGATGTACGTCGTTGAGGCAACATTCTCCATGTCCTCTGTTTTCTTTATCTAACGGAAGGTAAGAGATGAAAACGACGTTAGTTTCCCTGAGAAAATAGCTCGTTAACGTTAGCCTTCGATGCTGTGTCAGTTAAGCTAGCTGTCAACGTAGAATTAGCTAACGCTAGCTAACATTTGACACATTTTAAACCTATAACGTTATCTTTAAAACCATTTTTCCCACGCCAGGTGTCTAGTTAGCTGCCAGTGTTGAAAATGCATAGCAGATTATGATATGGCTATGCGTGTATCGATATCCTGCTTAGACACTATGAGCGAATACTTTGGTGAAGTAACTTAACTGTTAGTTCGTGTTTCTGTACTGCGTGCTAGCAAGGTGGTCACCTATGTGGGGAATATGATCGGTTATTCTGATAAAGAAATTGCACCCCAGTTCTGTGACGCAGACAAAATTAAAGGAAGCTTATGCTATTGGGCTAACTTAACATGTTACATAATCCTGCTGTTTAGGCAACATTAAGAACCTCCCTTGTTAATGCTAGTGCACTTTATATAACCCATAGTCAAAACTATATGCAAAGTTTAAATGGAATAGCCTCCACCATAAGTTGCACAGCGTTGTCAGATAACTTCTCTACCAAAGCTGTGAACTCAACTGACCTGTGAGTACAGTCTGTTATAAGGCCAAACCTGCTCTGACCTTTGCACTTGCAGTTTTGGATCTCATCCCACTATTGTATTTTGCAATTCGGAAGTACAAAAAGTGTGAATGTTGGCTATTGTTGTTGAGTGATGACTCTCAAATCTTCTTCCTCAGGTGCACTCTACAATTATGGAGTTTTGAAAAGGAAAGTGAGAGTTTTGGGGGGAAAGGGGGCCTTTCCCCTCAAGTTTGATGGTTGGACTGCGGGACAAGAAGGTCAGAGGCTTGTTGAAATTGATGCCTTTTGTAAATTACTGAAAGACTACATAGAGGAAAAACTATTTTTGCAAACATTAATATGTACGATTTTGTATGAAATGCACAAGCAGTTTTGTATTTATCCGAATTTGTGATGCCATTGTATGCTGTAAGCACCTTAGTTTGTGTTCAATTCTTGGTTGAAATGGTGGACTGAAGCAAGTCACAGAAAAACTCTGGGGTCGCTAGGGTGCGGTGGAACCTCAACACAAGCACAATTCTAGCACTCCAAACCATCTCGACCTTTTGTTGACACATTTTTATTTTTCCTTGTTGGAGAGCAGCTCTGTTAAAATAGCACGCAATTTTAGTGACAGTGTTTATGGTTTGTTACCCCACATTGTATTGTTTTTGAGTTTGTTTGCAATTGTGGGTGGTGGGCTATCAGAAGGTTTTGTAATACGTAAGGGAGGAAGGTTCACTGTGGAGATTTGGTGGAGGTCAGGATGAGTCTGGCACAGCCGGACTGCACCCCAAAATGCCGCTCACAGCAGCATGCAGATGAGGTGGTAGCTGCACTAACGGGAGGCTCCGAGGGGCAGCTGCGGGCGTTCTTGACCTCGCACTGCCACAATGCGGCCACCCTGCGGGATGCCTTTGGTCGCACAGCCCTGCACCTGGCAGCCTCACTGGGAAAGAAAGCCCTACTGGAATGGCTGCTGGAGGTTAAGAGTGCTGACCTTATGGTGAAGGATAAGGAATCCGGCTGGACTGCTCTGCATCGCAGCGCTTTCTACGGACAGATCCACTGTCTCATATCGCTGGTCAAGGTATGTATTGAACACGGGTCACCAAAATATATGCTGTAAAGTTTTGTCCAGGTGTTCATATTGAAATTGTCCCATTTACCAAATTAATGAAGTAATGCAGTAATATGGAAAGGAAAAATTAAGATTACTCCTTGCAAATTTTTAAGAATTTGACCTGACTTTGAATGTCTGATTTGTTTTCTTCTTGACATTGTTTCAGCATGGTGGACTACTCTCCACACAGGACAAGGAGGGTCTCTCTGTCCTGGACCTTACGATGAAGGACCGACCAACACATGTTGTGTTCAAAAACACGGGTAAGAAAAGCTGAGTTGAGTGCATATGTTGACCTTCTTTCAAGGTGCATGGGGAAGAGAAAGGTCTAAATAGTTCAAAACGTGATTGGGCTTGTGGTTTTCATCTGGGTCGTCATACAACACATTACAAAGAACATTTTTCATTGACAATGTCGTACACCAGTATGACACTGTTAACTTTGTAGCTTTGTCTTTGTCAAGATTAACAAGTCCTGTTAGCATCATGACTCGTACTGTTAAAAAATGCATTTCACACTTGTACAAACATAGGATTTAATTCTACCTGTGTTATATCACATGGCTTTCTAGCCGTTAATTATTGTATCTTACCCTTTAAATACTATTTTAATGTCTTTTGTGTTGTCTTGTGTTTCTTTTCTTAATGCCTTTTACGTCATATGTAAAGCACGTCCCTTATTGTTGAAAGATGCTATGCAAAGAAGCTTGCCTTTCCTTCTTTCAATGGCAGAAAGGACCCATGGTTAAATCAAGCTTCAGGTGGAGGCAGCGCAGTGACTGTGCTTGTAATTGTGTTTTCTTCTTCGTTACAGACCCAACTGAAGTATACACGTGGGGA